AGAACCAGGGTTTGCATTTCTCAACAGAATTTGCCCAATTACCAACACTGCCACAGTCAAGTGCAGAGGACTAAGTGGCAGTGGCCTGAGTCCTGGGGCTGCTGTGCTTCTGGAGCCAGAGAGGAGACTTCAACAGCCATCAGCATTGACCTATGTTGATTTTTTTGTGTGTTTCTGTGAAAGTGAATGGGAGTTTACAGTAGGGTTCCAGGCGAGGGAGGGGTCAGGAAGGAGAGCCTCTAAGGTGGTCACATTCATGTCCTCCACTTCAATCATGTTTGGCTGTCAGGGGCTGTACAGGTCCTAATACACAGTCTCCAAATTGCTCCAGCTGCAATTACTAATGGTTATACTTTCCTTCCTCTCACAGGAGCTGTTGCAGTCGTTGTTGTGGGGCACATAAAAACATCCTGGGCAATGTGGGGTGAAGTAGCACTTGCCCTGTTCTCCTTTCTTATTGCTGCTGCTGTATATGTCATGGACACTGTTCATAACATCTGGGTGTGCTATGGATCCTACGTTGTCTTCAGAATTATCTACATGATGCTAATCACGATAGCAACGTGAGTATCTTTTTAATGTAAACTGCTCTCAAGGTTACAGCTGGTGTGAAAGCAGGGTATTTTTAGTGTAACAAGAGTCTGTTGCAAGGGTTTGTGTTGTGATTCAGGTTGGAAACTCAGGCATGCAGATATATTTAGCTGGCACTGTGCCTAAGCTTAAAAGTCTTAAGACACTAAAGTTACTATTTCTCAATATTAGATATAGTGCTGTTTGCCAGGGGGAGGTTTCTCATAGACATGGCTGGAGTGAAGTGTTAACAGATGAGAAGATGATGATGCTTTACCTGTGTTGAAGCATCAACTCTCCCTAATCTGTAAGGAAGACTTCTTCAGTGTTATTTGTCACTCTGGGGAGGAAAACACTGTTGTTGAACCACACATGCATAATCACTATGAGACAGCTCAAGCACAATATGAGGAGTGATGCTGAAACTGGTGACTGCAAAGGGAATTCTGGTTAGGAGGATGCCAGAGGTTATGGACCACACTGCAATAGATTGAAACTTCGAGACTGCCAACTTCTCTCTGAGATCAGTGTGTTGTATCTTCTCTGCGTGACAAGACCCTTTACATCGGACTAGAGGGCTGCTGCAGTAACACAGAAACCACAGAGCTCCCAAAGTGCTGTTTTAGGGGGTTTTTTTGTTGGTTAAATAAAAAAAGAAAAGAAAAAAGAAAAAGAAAAGTTTTTGCATGTATCTAAGGTTCTCATTTAGCTTCTAGTCCATTGTGAACCTGTTTAGAAAAGTACACTATCAGTGCACGGTAATTTAGCTGTGAAAAATAATGGACCAGTTCATGTAACTCCTCAGGCTGCATAGTCCTCTTGTTCAGAAATGTTCCTCCTATTTGTTCAGTCCCTTGCTTTTTCCCTATCCTTATTTTTCTGGTCATCCCTTTCTATCTAGGTTCCAGATCGCTACAAATCTCAGCGTGGAGCGGTATGCCCTGGTATTTGGGGTCAATACTTTCATTGCCTTAGCACTTCAGACTGTGCTCACTTTGATTGTTGTGGATGCCAATGGGCTTGGGTTGGACATCTTCACCCAGGTATGATAGATGCTCTTACCTTAATTGATGGAAGGGAAGGAGGGAGGGAAGGAGGGAGAGAAGGAGACAGGTAAACCAAGCTGTAAAGCTTCTCATCTGCCTGTTTCTGGGTCAAGGGTATGTAGAGAAATAATCACTGATTCCTGATGTTTTAGAAGAGAAATGGAGCTTATTTATTAACCTTACTGCTTGATTTACCCACTTCTTTCTAATTTCTTTTCCTCTTCTCTGCAGTTCATGATTTACGCCTCTTACTTTGCGGTCATCTCGCTGGTGTTCTTGGTCAGTGGCATATGCAGTATTGTGAGAGCTTACAGAAGACAAGAGCAGACACAAAGCAGATCTCCTGGAAGTAGTGCACAAAGTGAAGACTCTTAGTGACTACATATGAAGATATAGGTCTGTTTTTAATCTCTGCCTTTTCTTCCCAAAGCAATCACCTTAACGGTATTTGATCCATATTTATACTATATTAGTAGCCCATTTTAGAAGGCAAACGTATTAGCTCTTACGTAAGTAAGAACAAATATCTTCTTTCTAAAATGCCTTTCGTTCTTCTGTTGCATCTATGGGATGTGCAGCAAAGAACAGTAAAGCTTTCTTAAAGAGTGAGAGAGGTTTTAGTCTCAGGCTGTCTGTCTGCAGGCAGCTTTGTGATTGTCTAGTCAACTGCTGCTCTCTCTGTCACTGAGGTGCTGCTGCAGGGCAGAAGTGAGGGCACACTAACAGACACTAATAGACCTCTCTGTGGAGCATCCCAGGCCTTAGGGCTGTGCTCTGCAGTGTGGCTCTCGCTGGGGCTGCCCTGTGATGCTGGATACTCCGTTTTGAGGACTGGATCACTAATGTTTCTGCATATGCACATGCTTCCTTGAGGAGCTTGTACTGTTTGTTTCTCTTGCTCCTGTCTTCTGTCACCCCTGCTGCCAGATTTTTACCACGGCTGATCACGGTGCTTCGCCAAAAACATAACTGTGTCCTGGGGCAATTTGTAACACTGCTGGACTGGGTATCAGCAGAACTACTTGTGCCAGTACCCAAAGGACTGTAAAGCTGGAGGGGAAGTTAAGAGTGAGTTTAAATAGACAAATTGCTGATCCAAGGGACCCTTGGACAACTTTGCGTTTGTCCTTTAGGGCTGCAAGTTTCTGTGATTACAGAAGTCACTGCTTCACAACCCTGGGGGCTGGACTGTTTCAGTGGGGTGGTGGATGTTAACACTTAAGAAGTAGGGTGACTTGCAGGATTTTAAGCTATTCTTTGTGGCCTTGGAGAATTGTGGCTCTGGTGACTAGGCACCTTCAGTTATGGTAGTTAGCAGAGTGACTGTCTGAGGCTTTGAAAAATGATGGCTTATGGTCTGTCAGTTTTTCCCCCTTACTGAAAAATGCCTTTATGCTTCTGGTGAGTCTCTGTCCACAAATTCTACCTCTTCTTTCCATGTGAGCAGAACAATGAATGTTTGGAGTTGGCAGTCTTTTGGTTTTGTCCAGTTTAAGCAATTTGGGACTTGCATCATCTCTCTTTTTTAAAAATAATTTATTTTTTCTAATTTGCTTCAACACTGGGAAGGAGTTGCACAGAGTTGTCCTGGGCTTGGGCAACTGGATATTCAGGCGCCGTGATCAGCACAGCCATAGATATCTGCAGTATACTGTGGAAATGGTCTGTGGACTGTCCCTGTTGCTGTGCAAGTTGTGGTGAGTTTAAGTGTACAGGAGAGCTGGCAAGGGAGAAGGTGCAACATGTTGTGCTTCCCTCCATGCCTTCTCTCTGTGTGTTGGTTAGAGGTTCTTCCTTCTTTCAGCTGAAGAAGCAGCTTAGGTTCATCACTTGCTTTTTGTGACATGGAAACTTCACAGCATTAGGGTTGGGAAGGTGTTTTCCCTCTGACTGAGACATTTCTCATCATTTTCTGTGAGCCTGAGCCTTTATCACACAAGGTGAATGATTAATGTGTTTGGGATCTGGGGCCTGGGGAGCCCTTCCAGGCTGACTGCTCAGGGGAACCCACTCGCCAAAGCTTCTCTGTGTTTGCAGGCTGCCTCCTAAAACAGCCCCCTAAAGAGGGGCTCAGCTGCACTGGCATTTACACACATAAACTTCAGCCTTATCCTGAAATGGAAACTTGAAGCCACCCATGTATATATTCCTTTCTCTGCTGCTTTTTGTTTTTAAAAAAGTAAAATCTGAAGCCATGAAATGCTAGCTGATGAGCTGTCCTGGTACAGGTATAGTCTGTCCTTTGAGTTCCTTGCTCTGATGGCAGTTGCAGCAAGGCCAGAGGAGTGGCTGTATGGCACTCTTGTCTAGTGACCAAAAGGAGCAGCTCAATTTTAATCATGTTTTTCATACAGAGAACACATCTTCGATGGGGAACAAGCCCAGTTATTTTAAAAGCAAGTCAAAAAATTAACTACCAAATTACAGCAATAGCAATGATTTTTCTACCAAAGTAATGAAACTGTGGCAACTGCAATAGAGAGGCACACTATGCTGTGTACATCTTCAGGTCTGCTAATGTATGGAAGCCACACCTGGATGTTGTTCAGGTTCCTAGCTGTGCTGTTGCTGTGGTGATGAGGTGACTATAGGGCCTGACTGGAGCTGTATGCAGAGTTAATGATGCCTATGAAATTTTGTAACCATGTTGACATTGTTGGTTTCTAATTGAATGGATATTTTTGTTAAATAAAACTACTCCGAGATATCCTGTGTGCCCAATGTTTGTTTTCTATCTTGATACCTTGCTAACCCACAGTACTGCTGCTTCAGGTTTTTCTGAGCATCTTTGTAACAAAGAAGAAAACAATATAGGACAAAACATGCTAAAAGAAACTAGTCTTCAAGATGCTGGTAATTGCTGGCTGGCTTCTGTAGGTTTGCAGAACTCTATGCAAGTGTCTTGCATTAAGGATTCTTAATTGCTGAACTCTGGTTCCACTGCAGACAGGTCTAGTGAGGGAAATCATCACTCATCGATGCAGGGTAACCTGGTCAGGATGCATCAGTCTCACTGAGGGTGACAGCAGGGGAAAGCAGGTGTAGGTTTGCCATGCAGGAGGACCTTTCTATTTACATTGACATAATTACAAAATGGAGGCCTTAAGGAAGAAATGCTGTAAGTTCCGCATCCTGGCATACCCACACTTGTCTGCCTTGGAAAGCTCTCCCTGCATTCTGCTTCTGGATGTCTTGCACCTCATAGTACAGGCTGGGCTGGAGGGTAGAGTGATTTCTGAGTATATGCTGCCAGTTTGATGTAGGTTGGTGTGGGTAGTAGTCCAACAAGCCCTCTGCACAACACCAAAGGCAAGAGAAAAGGGTTGTTCTGGGGAGGAAAGGGGGAGGGGAGGCTTTTTTATAATTGTTTCCTTCAGAGCTTTATGGCTGAGGCAGGAAGGATAGGACTGTCAGCATGTCAAGTTTGCTCTGAATTTCATTCATCTGCCTTCCCTGGGTGAATGCAGGAGTAAGCTGTGCAGAGATGAGTTTGACAGTGCGAGGGATTAAAATCTCTGCTTGTATATGTCAGGAAGGCAGCTAGTAGCTCATACACACATATAGCATTACCCTCTCAGGTGGATTCAAGTGTTTCACATGCGGTGCTGGTGCAAGGTGCTGTGACAAGAACCCCGAGGCTGCTCCTGACTTCAAGAGAAGCAAGTCCACGTGAACTGTGGCAATCCTCCTTGCTCCTCCCATCGCATCCTGCCACATCGTGTACAACTGAGAGAGCCGAAAAGGGACACACAGCTGCTGTGAAGGAGCTGAATTTCTGCATTGGAGACACAGCACTCAGTGCAGTTTGACGGAGATGAGATAAATACTACACACGGCTGTCTGCCTGGGAAGCTGTGGCTGTTTCTTTGTTCCAGCTGATGCTCTGGGCTGCTGGAGGTGAGTGTTACTACTGAATCTGTGTGTCCTGCATCAGATCTTACCTACTGGTAAGATCAAGATGGTATAGTTCCTGGACTAAAGCTAAAGAGGGGGTTTAGTTCCTGGGATCACTGTTACATTGAGATGCGCTGGGCTCGTTCTGTCCAAAAAGCAAGGAATAGTAAGAGCTGCCAAAGGCTGCTGTTTCAGGAGCAGCACCCACTGCTGTCCCTCTGGGCTAGCACTGGCTGTGAGAGTCCACCAGGGCATGGCAGGGCTACACTCAACCCTGCTGTGGCTGTGTGCATGTGGCACAGCTGGCTGCTTTGGCAGTGCTTTCAGGGAAAGGGAAGGGCTCTGTATGGAAGCAGTTGCATTTTTTTGTCAGTGTGATCGCAGCCAAGTACTGCGAAAGAATAAGGGACTGTGGCTATGAAACTGTGAGCTCTGGCCCCTGTTCTCAGCGGCTCTTAATAGTGTCTACTATTTCCTACACAACATGCAAAGGTGATAAGGTGCTTGTTCACCATTGCTCTGGAAGTGTTATGCAGCCTTTCTCTGTGAAATGTACTCTGTCTGCATGAAACAATGTTCCCTGAGTAGTGTCTGATGCATTAGTGACATGGAAAAGAGCAGCCAACATGTCGGGGCTGGTCCTTGGAGCCCTGCATTGCTTAGCTGCTGTTTTTGTTGCATTTTCCATAACCACTCTGTGTAGCTTCCTCACAGAGGGAACATCTGAAAACCTACATGTAATGACATGTGGGTTAATGAATGCATGCATGAATTTAGATTGACCTCATATCATTAAGTTATCATTACCAAGCATCGCAGCTTGATATTCCAACAATGGGGTCTAATCCTTAATCGTGCTGATTTGTTATTAGTCAAATAAAGCATCTCTTGTGAATGAAAGGGTTAGCACTGGCTTTTAAGCTGAAGAATAGTCTTATGAAAAAAGCAGAGTGGAAAGCTTTGGTATTGTGCCAAGTTCTCTGAATTTTAGTGTGCTATGAATTTGTCAAAGACACCTATCTATGAAATGTGGAAAATCAGAAATTCAATGTATTGTCTGCAAGTGTGGGATAGCTGCGTGCCCTAGGTGAGGTCAGTGGCTGAAGTTATTCCAGGTACAGCAGGAACCATTGCCAAGCAGGTACCTGAGAGTTATCTCCAGTAAATATCAGGGAGCCCTTCCAGCCCACTGGAAACAATATCAAAACCCATTTCTCTTTCTCACTATATGGTATAGGATAAGCAGAAATCCTGAGGTCATGGAGTCCAGCCTCCTCCCACAGCTTGTGGCCTATGATGACAGATGTCTTCAGAGATCTCCTGAACACCACCTTGAAGGGGTTTAGCTTTTCTACCCCATGTGACTTTGAGTGAAAGGGTAACTCTACTCGAGTTACTCTGAGAGTTATCAAAGCCCTGGCTTTGTGGCTGTTTTCTGCACGTCTTTTCTTCCATTACTATTAACTCTTTAGTGCAGTGGGGATGCTGCCCTCTGAAGTCTGTGGCCTTGTAGACTGTCATCCTTCACTTTGCTGTGCCAGAGTACTCAAAACTGGGGGTCATGGCTGTGTGAAGGATGGTGTGACAGGCACCACGTCAATGCTGCCAGTGAGGACAACTCCCTCCCTCCACCCTCAGGGGGCCCATCCTGCGACATTCTGACAGGAGGGCTGAGGAGGGTCATCCCCAAAAATATGGTGCTGGGAAGCATCCTGTGATGCTGCATGAACCTTGGTCACCCTGGAGGGCTGCTGGCAGCTGCTCCCCCTGGCAGCGAGTCCTGTGTGTGCTCCGTGGTGAGTATGATGGTCACACAGCTTGTTGGGGATCTGCTGACCACAGGGACACAGCATCCACTATCCATGGGGCTGTTCAGTCTCCCATAGAGGAGGCTGTGATGTGCCACCTCTTCACAGCTCTACTGAGGAGCCTGACACCTCTACCAGCTCCCCTGGCCCTGAAGGTAAATCAGGGTGGTTTGGTTTTGGTTTTGTGGTGTTTTGTGTGTGTGTGTGTGGTTTGTTTGTTTGTTTTTTGTTTTGTTTTGTTTTATTTTTTTCCCAGACAGAAATTAATTCAGGGTGTTTTCCTGATTTTCTTTGTTTCTTTTCTTTTTTTTCTCCCCGTTTCCAAGTTCTAGGAGCAAAGTGTGGTTAACACAGAGAGGTGTCTCTCTGGAGATTCACTGCTTGTCTGTCATTAGTGGTGAGGCACTGGAACAGGTTGCCCACGAAACTGTGGATGTCCCAGCTACAGAATTGCTCAAGGCCAGGACGGGGCTCTGAGGAACCCAGCTGAAGGTGTCCCTGCCCACGCCAGAGGGATTGGAACTAGAGGATCTTTAAGGTCCCCTTCCAACCCAAGCCACTCTGTGATTCTATGATTCCGTGATTAACAAAAGCCCGAATTCTGACACTGCAGGCTCCTGCGCTGATCCAACTGCTCATCATGAATAATACAACACAGAAACTGAAGCTCTTCCCTGACAAGTGCATAATTTAACAGCATCCAAGGACTTGCGTCTGTCTGGACAAGGAGAGCCGCCGGCCGCTCTCCTGGTGAGGAGGGGGCGATGTCCCCCGGCGCCCCTCAGCGTTCTGCTTCCCGTTAATTCCCAGGCGTTAAATGGAATTGTGTCACGCGGAAGCAGGGGACAAGGAGGGGGTTCGCGGCGCGGAGCCCCGTCTCCATGGCAACGGGGCGGTGGCGCCTCTCCAGCGCCGTGCCCGGCGGGAGCGGAGCGGGAGGAGGCGATTGTCCCTCGGGAGCCGCCGTGCGGTGCCCGGCGCGGATCGGGAGGTGAGCGGGGGCGGCCCCGCTGCTGCCACGGCAACGCCGCGGGCGGGCGGCGGCGCCTCCCGTGCCCCGGGCCGGGACCCGGGCGGCGGGCGGGGCGGCGCGGCCGAGCGGAGCGGGTGGTGCCGGTGAGGACCTTGCACACCGCAACAGCGCCGGGCTCGGGTTTGCGGGTCTGTGTGCGTGTGTGTGTGTGTGTGCGTGTGTACGGCTTAGCGCGAAGGGACAAAGCAGCAGAAATCCACCGCTGTTTGCCGCCTTTCGTTGTGGCTGTGCCTCAGTGTGAGCACGCACAGGTGTCGCTAAGCTGTGCGGAGCAGCCCGGTCGCAGCGCACGCCCCCCCCCCTCCCCACAGACGCGCCCCAGTTGGGACAGGAGCAGGTGGAAATGAGGATCTGAGATTTTATGAATGCTTTTGGTCCCTCTTAAAGCCGAATCACTTCGGTTCGTAAGACCCTAAATAGAATCGCAGCTGAATCCGGATTTTGTGGTGCCATCAGCATAAGAAAGACGTGTTAGAGCAAGTTCAGAGGCGCCCAGAAAGTTGATCAGGAGGCTGGAGCTCCTCCTTTACAAAGACAGGCTGCGAAAGTTGGGGCTGTTTAACCTGGAGAAAAGAAGGTTGTGTGGAGACCTCACAGCACCTTCCAGTATCTGAACAGGGCGTACAAGGATGCTGGAGAGGGACTCTTCATCAGGAACTGTAGTGACAGGACAAGGAGCAGTGGGTACAAATTGAAAGAGGAGAAATTTAGGATAGAGGAAATTCTTTACTGTGAGGGTGGTGAGACACTGGAACGGGTGGCCCAGAGATTGTGGATGTCCCACCCCTGGAAGTGTTCAAAGCCCGGTTGGATGTGGCTTTGAGCAACCTGGTCTAGTGGGAGATGTCCCAGCCCATGGCACAGAGGATTGGAACAAGATGATCTTTATGGTCCCTTCCAACCCTTAACATTCTGTGATTCTATGAAACAAGGACACAGAATTGGAAATTCTCTCTTCAGCCATGACTACTTTATCTTACAATAGGAGAAACTGATTTATATGCCGTTCCCCATTATTGTATTTAATTAATTGAACAGTTTTCAGTGTTTGTGTTGAATGCCACAGACTAACGTGAATGTGTTTTGTTAAGGGCACAATTCAGCTGTGCAGCTTTTTTGTCTGCTTATCATAATGATGAAGTCACAGAGAAATAGTTTTTTTGTGCTAAATATGTACTAGAGCAAAGTAACCTCCATTAAGAACCCAGATATATGTCACCACCCAAACCCAAGAATATTTGTGAAGGAAAGGGCATTTTCCAGCAAAAAACATTACATGTCATATGAGGTGGTGCAGGAAAATGATGGAAATAGACATGGCATGGAAAGCCAAGGCAACAGTCTGAATGAGCTCTAAAAATTTAAATTCTGAGAAATCTAGTGTGAACGAGTGATTCTGGTGCAAGTGTAGCTTAAAAGCAGCAAAAAAGAAAAAAATGCCAGATTTTCTTGAACAACATATGGGTCAAAGAAAAGAAAGAGCTTTTAAAAGTTTCTGTACAAGTTTGCAGCAAAAAATGCCCAGCTCTATTACCGCTTTTTTCTCTTAGACAAACCTTGCCTACATTTTGAAGTCTAAAAGAGCAGCACTCTTCTTTGGATGAAAGGGGTTTTACGAAATGGACTGCAAAATGCATAGACAGATTGGAAGCTCCAGGTCCAACCCTTTTTGATTCTGTGGTTCTATGATTCTTGTCTGGAAGGGCAGGATGGTCATATGGCAAGAGCTGTCGGGCTGTTCCAGGGCCATCCAGAGCCAGAGCTAACTCTTACACCCCATATTGTGTTGCCATAAGCTCATGCTCATATCACAGAATCATAGAATGTTAAGAGTTAGAAGGAGCTTTAAAGATCATCAAGTTCCAAGCCCTCTGCCATGGGCAGGGACACCTCCCACTAGACCAGGTTGCTTTAGTTCCCATCCAACCTGGCCTTGAACACTGCCAGTGTCAGGGCATCCGCAGCCTCCCTGGGCAACCTGTTCCAGTGTCTCACCACCCTCAGAGTAAAGAATTTCTTCCCAATATCTGTCCTAAATTTCTCCTCATTCAATGTGTACCCCTTATTCCTTGTTCTGTCAAAACAATCATGATCTTTAGTATGTTGTAAATGGCACAGATTTGTCCTACTAGAGAGACACTCAGAAGTGGCCACCTTCCAGCCACATCAGAGGGTACAAAGAGAACGTGAACTTTCGAATAATCAAGGTTTCCTTCTTCCATGTTGCTTTTGTAAACAGTAATAAACAGGGAGGGAATTATGAGTGGCTAAAGCTGTAAAAAGAGCAGGATCAGCTCTCTAGGCCGATGAGTGTCTCCACATCTTTAACTCTTTTGTGTCTTTGAATGGAGGCAGATGCCTTCTAGTGAGTGAGCTGAGACCGAGGGGCAGCAGGCACTCAGCCTGGAGCACCAAGCACTGGCTTTTAAGCAGTCCTTCAGGAGCTAATGGTACCTGTATGCTATGCATTCCCAAGATTATTTAAAAGACTCAGTCCTTATAGTAGCTCACCTTAAGTTTTGTCATGAGTATGACTATATCCAGCCTAACTAACAGCTTAACGAGTATTTCCCTTTGTTGCCCTACTCAGAAATTCAAACCAAAACTGGATATTTTTCTCAGCAGTCTCAGGTTGTGTCTCTGTAACTTTATTTGCCCCTGTTACTAGTGGAGGGGATGTGGTTTGAAAGCTGCTGTAAATGCTCAGGCACTCTAGCAGGAGGTTTCTGTCAGGAGTCCAGTCAATGAATATCTTCTCGTTTTAATATGTTATTATAAGAAGCTTTTTGGTAATTTGATCTACTGTAAGCTGTGGTTCACATGGTTCTTCTAGGGCTTTTAAGTCACCTTGATTTGCTTTAACTCAAATCTTCCCCTAGTAGCAGGAGCTGGAAAGGCCAAAATAATTCACATTTATAAACCGTCAGTGATCTTTAGTCCTGAGGTGCTGTGGCACTGTCTAACATGGTTGTATTGACACTGCTGACAACTTTGGGTGCCACAGGAGATACCAATGTTCAATATTTGTGTGCCAGTGGAGTTTTAAAACATTTTATTCTCTCTCCTTTTTGTAGTACTACTCTAACACATCACCAAAATGAGTGGAAGGGAAGATCGAGGAGATCCATTAGATATTGAGGATTTAACAGAAAATGTAGAATATGAGGATGATTTTGAAAAAGATCTGGAATGGCTGACCAATGAAGAAGGAAAAAGAAACCTTGGTGAAAGAGAGGTATTTCTTACATTAAATGCTAGTTGTCTTATATGGAAGACAAAATTGAGTAGTATTAGGAATCATAAGCACAAAATTCAGTATCATTTGAAATGTGTAGGTACATTCACTGAACTTTGACAAGGAAAGTTATTTGGGACTGTAGTGAAAAACATTTCAGTGAACTAACTAGTTTGGTTATAATTGCCTTAAAACAGAAAATTCAGTGTTCATTGAAAATAATATGTTTGTTTCAGAAGTGCTTTTGGGTTCCTTTAATGCAACACTTGTTCTGGTTTTATGCTGGTTTTACTCTTGTTTTTATGCACAAGCCATGATTAGTTAAACTTCGTGCAAATGTGAACACTGAGAAAATGGAAGAGAGTTGTTAGTGCCAAGAAAAGCTATTAGTACATACACTGTTTGACAGCCTCATTTAGAATTGGAGTAGTTAGTACTGCTATTCTCTGTTGCTGTTTCTTTTCTCTTTCTTTGATACTGTTCTTTGTTAGGAGAAGAGACTAGTTTATTTTCATTTTTTTTCAGACTCCTGAAGAAAATGAAGAGGATATCGAAGAACAAATTCTTAAAGCTGCAGACAGCTTTGAGGAAGACAGTGAGGAAATAGAAGAAAATTTAGATCAGCTTTCAGAAGAAGATGTAAATGTGAGAGTGAGATACTCCAGTGAGGAAAGTTTTGAATCCAGGTCAGATACTGGACAGGAGAGCTATGGATCTGATACCAGTGGAGAAAGCTCTAGCCAGGAATCCAAGCTGGAAAGCCAGGATGAGCTGAGTGAGGTAGTGGATGAAGAAATAAAGCGTTACATCTTAGAAAAGATTGAAGAAGCCAACAAAGAGCTGGAGAATCAGGCTCCTGTGGATCAAAACAGAGAACGGAAGTTAAAATTCAAGGACGAGTTGGTGGATCTTGAAGTTCCTCCTCTAGAAGATTCTCGAGTTTATAAAACTGACCTTATAGGAGGAGACGATGTTTCAAGTGGGCTTTCTCAGTTGCATATTTCTAATGACATGGGACAGGAAAGCACATTCCTTTCACCATGTGCTGGCACAGATGAGGACACGACAGATGGTAAAATCCTAGTGGAAAAAGACGGGAAGTTTGAACTCTTAAGTTTATGTGATATTGAAAGCCAGGGCTTTTTGCCCCCAATAAGTGTTTCTTTTACTGATATTGAAACTCACCATGTATCTCCAAAATCACACTGCAGTTCTTTTCGCACTGTCTCTCAAATAAAGGAAATACCTCCGGTCAGACCAGAAGCACGTTCTTTTTCTCCTAGTGAAGAAGAGTGTGTGTATTTCCCTAAGCCTCCGTCTAACTCTAAGCATCGTCCAAATTCTGCTGTCAATGCTGCAAGAGGTCTGGGTAAACAGAAGAATCCACAGAGGACTCAGTCTGCAAATGTGTCCGTGAGAAGCTCCACTTACAGTCTTTCTCCCAGGCAAAAAGAATTACGGAAGCAGTTAGAACAAAGGAATGAAAGACTGAGGAAAGAGGTAAAGATACAGAGACAGCAAGTAAACCACAGTGACCATCCTGTTCCTCTGCTTCTCAGAGACCACATGCTCAGGGCATTTGCTCTATTTTTCTAAGATAAAAGAGTTAGCAATAGGAATAATAATAATAATAATTCTCTGGGATTTGTGTAGGATCGTTCAAAGCTCCTTTCCCACAGAGTGGCATAGGATCATGCCTTGCTCAGAGGAGAAATTAAGTCTTTATTCAATATGTCCTTTGTAGATTGGCTGCTTTCTGCTATAATGTGCTTACTGCTTTTGCTTATTGCCTCAACCTAGGTTCCGTTACAGTCCCACTATTTCTGGAATGTAGCACTTGGTGTCACATCTCCACAGATTACACTGCAATTCAGGAAATTTACATTAACTGCAGGTTGATGGCAGGTTCACATTTGGGTGCTCATGAAGTACGAATTAGGCAGTTATCATATGGGAGATTGTTCAGTCATAATACAAAATTTACACAGGAGAGTGACAGTGAGAACCCTTTTAACTCTACCTCAGCTCCTTATTCAGAAAAAAATTAATAGAGAGTCAGCCTCTGACAGCTGTAATGGGGACTTCAGAAATCTTTACCTAAGATTTAAAAAACTTAGAAGTTTCTCTTTGCATTACGATGATACAATTACAAAAACATAACTTGCTTTGTATGCTCTATAAAAAGAGCCTGAAGCATCTGTCATTCTTCTGTGCCATGATGTACTAAGTAAGCTGGCTAAAGTAGTTTCCAAGGTTGCTTTCTATCCGTGGAAATAGATCTAGCCTGCTTTATTTGAAAAGGTTGCTGAGGCTTAGCTCAGTAATGAGGAGTATGAAGTGTGATGAGCGATTGATGTGTTTTCTTTGCACACACAAGACTAGATCTTGACACATGCTGTGTGTATTTGAAGTAAAAGGCAGTGTGGTGGAGGTAAGGAAGGTTATTTTCCTATCAGCTTGTGCTAAATTTCTTCCTTTGTTGGCTGACTTACGGAAAGGTAAGAATGTGTTCCCTTATTTCTTCATTCTTAAATGAAATTCTTCCCTTCTGTGATGGATCTCACAGGCGTGAAACATTTCTTGACATTACTGGAATCCATCTGCTTCATTTTGGTGGGGTTTTTTTCATTCCAATAAATTAGAAATTGTAAGTTTAGAGGATAGTCTGAAAGTGTGTGTAGGTGGGAGGAACAGCATCTAGTTTACAAGAATAGATTTCTACAAGTGTTGCAATGAGTACAGATTGTAACTTTTGTGTCAGAGAGAGTAAATCCTGGTAAAAAATCTCCTAATCAGCTTCCTGAAGCATTAATTGAAAATTTTTCTCCTTATAGATACTTCTTTTCAGCTAACATGTGATTAATAATGAAAAGAAACTTTTTTCAATTTTGAAAAAATCAGTTCATTTAATAAAAAATGTTTCATTTGGAAAAAAGCACAAAGCTATCAATATTCCTTAAGTAAACACATCACAACTTCACATCCAGAAAAAAGTCCTTTTTTATAAGGTAGTGCCTGCAATCCATAAGTAGTTAAATATCCTGTAGGGTTTAGTCACCCATCAAGCCTGAGAGCTGCATTCATTTTTAAAATGCATCAATCTGAAGTGATTTTAAGCCAATCTGAGCTCTTGGGCAGACTTAATTTTAAGAGTTTTCACCTGATGCTATTTAAATGTCTGTGAGTCGAGATGCGTCATGGAAATTGAGGCAATCACAAAAAGGATTAGACTGAATGTATCTGAATGTGTCATGAACCACAGAATTGCTCCAAGTAATTTCTTCTTAGAAGTAGTATCAGCTGTGATGCAGCCTTTGAGTATTCCCGTTTCATTGGTATTTTAGTGTGTCTCTCATATAATTCCAATGGCTTATTTATTGCCTGTGAAGGTCTTTGCAGATTAAGATGATTCTCTTAAAAATAAGTTTATTCACCTTTCATTCCACTTAAGGAAGAAGAAAGACAAAGGGAACTCGAAGAACAGAAGAGAAGAGAGAACGAGATGGTTTTTAGAGCTTGGTTACAGAAGAAGAAAGAGCAACTGCAGGAAGAAAAGCGAATTCGCCGCGCAAAGCAGCTGGAAGAGATGAGCATCAAAGTAAGATCTTTGTAATGTAGAACTGGGACCTATAGTGCTCTTCTTAAATAGGAAAACCAAATTCTAAGCCTGTGTTCTTAGCAAAGTGTATGAAAATTTACAGGGATAGGGAGTGTTCTTGTTACATTGTTTTCAGTGGAGAACCAGATAAACTTGCCTGTTTAGGGTTGTTCTGCTTGGCAGGGTGGCTCCAGTCGGAGAGGCAGTGTACATGAACTTAACTATAAAATCACAGGGGATACAGTGATACTCCTATCTATCAGCAGAATGACTTGGGTGAACCCTGCAGTGAACCCAGAAAACTCTGGGAAGTGTGTTCCTAGCCATCAGAACATGTTGGCAAACAGTTAATGCACATGACCTGATCAAAACCTGGAGATTTAGATGCCGTTCTAAAGTTCCTCTGCATTGCAGTGTGATGGTTTGAACAGCTAATTTCAGTATCTTTTAAATGTAGCACTCTGAATGCTGGCTCATGTATATATTCCATGCCATATTAGCATATGCTCTAGTTTGCTTATAAAGTATGTTTTGTGGAGGAGAGATGCCAGCACAGTTCAAAAAAATTATTATAATGCGATTAATATAAAGATCCTGTATGTATACATGTCTTTTTTATTAACTAGGAGAGGAACAGGGATCCAGAAGCAGCCTACAAGTCATGGCTTAAAAAAAAGCACCGAGAACACATGAAAGAAAGGCAGATACAACTTTTGAGACGCCAAGCTGAGGAACTTGCCTTTTTTCCAAGGACAGAGGAATGCGACAGAGCTTTTAAAGAGTGAGTAGGGTCATTCCTAAAGAACCATATCTGAAACTTCTGTAGTCTATCAGCTTGATACTGTAGATATCTTATGGTACATCTTCACTGCTGAAGTCCTTACTGTTTTGGTGGGGCTTTTTGCATGAATATGCCCTTCTAAACTTACAGTCTAGCAAAAATACATCAATTCCTTGATGTTGTTTGTTCACTGTTGTGAAATTACTTGTCAGAACCTGAGCTGAAATAGTGAATTGCTTTTGCTAAAAAAGGGATCTTCTCCCTAAACCCTTTTTGCCTGCTTTGGAGCAGGCTTGGGCTGATTCAGTCCATTAAATGAGCATAGAGTTAATCCGCCTTACCAAAATGGGGGAGGTAAAGATGGGTGCAGAAGCAGGAGAATTGGGGTGGAAAGGTAGTGCTTTCTGTGTTTGGGTGTGGCAGCTTTTAGACTGTCTCAGCCATACCTGACTTTACCCTTCAGGCCAGGGTGACTCCACAGTTTTGGGCAAGGGAGGGGGTGGGAAAGTCTCCTTTGAATGGATGATGTACAACTTTAAATCGCAACTGCCAGTACTTCTGGTCCTCTTTCTTTCTCCACAGATGGCTCAGAAGGAAGAGAGAAGAAAAACGAGCAGCAGAACTAGCTGCTAAAGAGAGAGTAAGGCAGCTTAGATTAGAAGCCAGAAGAGCAAAGCAGATGCGGAACATCCACTGTATTTAGTTTAGAGCCAAAATCCTTTCACTTTACAGACCATTACAGTTGAAAATTTGATGTAACCACAGAGTTCTTGGTGACGGTCTTCCTAATTTTTATGGCTTGAGTTTTTGCTCTTTACAGTTACTGACTTTTTGTGGTGTATTTAAAGTTTTCAATGGAGTTTAACGATTATCTTCAGTGACAATGATTTTCCTATTTATTTATTTGTAATTTTGTTGAAAAGCCTGCTTTTATACAAAACTCAGGGATCTTCTTGGTTTAACCAAATCTAAATGAGTGCAAGATCTATATAAGAGTGGCAAATGCACATTCCCATCTTTTAAAGGCACTTTATACTTAACTCTATACTTAACACCATGAATTCCTGGATGCAGGCTGTTATGTAAGATGTTGGATTTTTGCTGGATTAATATTGCGATTTGCTGCTGCTTGTGATGAAGACTGTACCAGGTGTTATGTTGTTGGAAAATCATGTTTCTTGTACCACTTTCTATTGATCTGCTGACCAACTCCAGATCCGAGGACTATTTTCTTTTTAAGGTTTAAGGAAAGTGGTCATTGAAGGCTAACGTGTAGGTGAGCATGCAACAGTTTTTAAAACTTATTTCTGTGAGTCATATTCAGTAGTTTTGTATTCCATGGAATTAAGAAATTGTGCAATTTATGACCTTTCCTATTATTAAGGAAGCTAGGTTGCCTGTATAAATGTCAATGTTTGCTAAATTTATAATAATAAACTACATCACCTTTCCCAGCTAAACTCTGAACTCTTGACAGAGAACATGCCAACATCACTCACAAAATCATAAAGTCCCTGAAAGAGGAGGAACATTCTGCCCAGCTATACGTCCAGCAGATTTCATGGTCCTGGCATTGCTCTTATATTTTTCCACATTCAAAGTGTTTTTTGGAAGTACTGCAACAGACAGAAGTGTAGTAGATGGAAAGCAGATTTGTTGTTAGCATTTTTCTCTCCTTTTCTGGAGCTAGTTACAGGCATAGTGAGAGAATACTGGTGTTGGACTGGAGGGTGCTGTCTTGCAGCATTTGCCAACATAAATAGAGGGCGTGGATGCAGATGAAAATTTCACATGCTAATGAGAAACATGAGTAGCAAGTGCCTTCCTCCTTCCTGTACCTTCCCCTGACACCAAAGGCAAGAAATGCTTCTTGTGTCTACCAAGCAAATCCCAGGGGGAAATTCACAAAGGTTCACAAACACACACACACTGTCGTCTCCCTAACTGTAGTAAGCTACAACAGAAACACTTCTCAGTTCATTACCTCAGACCAGCAGGGTGAAGGGTTTCATAGGTCAGTGTCATACAGTTCCTTGTATGGTGCAGAGAAAACAGGGTCAGAAATATGACTATATTAAATCCAAAATTGTAACTTGAAAGCAAGCAAAGAAAGTTTATTGTAGTTTTCTTCATGCAAACCAAAGCATGGTCAGCAACAGCAAGAACTTATAACTTACTTTTCTGATCGTGGTAGGAGATTCAAAGGAAAACTGGGTATAAGCAACCATTTCAGAAACCTCTTCCCTCAACTAGACAGCTACATATGGTAAATCTAGGGTTCAAACTAAGAAACTTAAACAGGCTTCCTTGGATTTAGCAGATTAGCTGCTAAAAGTTCTCTTCAAACATATGTCAAGAACTTCAAACCTACGTCAAGGTTATAAAACCATACAAGTAAAAAAATACTTTCTTTTATAACAGCACTTGTGCAAACTTGGTGCTTATCTTCATCTTCCTGTAATACTCAGGAAGAGCTTAGGCAAGGACTGAGTACTAACACCAGGCCAGGTTTCAACACCATATACTGAAGGAAGTACATCAGTTTGCCTTTTCTGAGGTTCAGCTACACAACAGCTTCACTCTAGAAGCTGAAATAGATGGAAAAGCCATTATTTCAGCTTTATGAAAACAGAAGAATAATTTTCACCACACCCTACCCCCCCCCCCAGTTTTCTAGAATCCACCTGGAACCAGTTACTATTTATATATTTTGTTGGAGTTCATTCAAGCTTCTTCCCTTTCTTGCCAGGAGGGCTGACACTGTGTATGCTCTTCCTTTCAGAGCTTACAGCTATGAAGAATCATTGCACATATTCCTTTATATTACTAAATTTAAAAGGCTGAACATAGACTTGGGGATGGTTCATCCCCTTTGCTAAGATTAAAAAAAAAAAAAGGCACGGAGCTGACCATTTTCCATTACTTTTTTTTTTTTTAAATTTAGACATAACCTATCAGCATTTCATTTACTTTGGTATACTTACACTTCTGTCTCCCTCTAAAGGGAAATTTATTAAGATTTGCTAATAAGACTATAAACCTTAAATAGTCATGCCTTTGTATAAGAAAATAAGTAGCTTTCCAGACTGAGAAGTAGAAGAAGTATCCCAGAGGCTACAGAAATCCTGTCAGTCCCCAACTTCAAGAGGTAGAGAAGCAGAAACTGCACAATTTCCAATGTTAAACCCACCCATTATGAAAAGAGGACAAAGGGAAACTTGTTGAACATCAACTAGTGTAATTCTTCAGGAGTGCATGTGCAGTTGTCTTGGCTGAGCTTTTAAAGGGCTATCAGCTCTCCTTGACAGTGATTGCAACAATTGAAGGTTACATCTTCATATCTTGTATATGGGTGAAACCTTCCAATACTCTTCTTTGAGGAAAGGAAGGAAGATGGGGAAGTCTCAGAAAAAGAAACTTCTGTTGATGTTTCCGGACGTGCAGCTGGATCCAGTACACGTAACATCTACGGACGAAAAAATTGAGACTGAAAATATTTCTATACAGTTTAATGGGTTTTTTCCTTCCCTAACAGCTAGGAAGGATTTCTGCTCAAAAGCAATTTTTCATTTTTTTTTCCCAAGTTCAAATATCTCTCTATCTATCTAGAACCTCGATATAAAGATTGACATGTATCAAGTTCTTACCATTTCAGCCATTTTCTCAGCAGGGGTATTGCAAAACTCCACAGTTGTTGAAGTCTTTTTTGGACTGTTAGTGTCAACATTTCCCAGAAGATGCGAGCTCACAGCTTTGGCTAGCTTACAATTCACAGCTGCTAGCTCTGTTGTAGTGTAAGGCTGGGCACTAGGGTAATATGTCTGTTGTCTCCCCCACTGAAGAGAGACCATGAGCTCCTCTAGCAGCCTGTGCAGAAAGGAAAGAAGCAGGATTAGTGGGCTTTATACTCTGTACTGTATAATCAGCACCCAGCACACTTAAGAGAAATTGTCTCTTACTAAGGCTTACTGCACAAGCTAAATCTTCACCAAAAAATGTGTTTAAAAACAAGGAGACGAACAGGCTATTCTCCAAGACCTCACCAAAACACTACTTTAATGATGTTAAAACTTATTGGACATCTGGCAGAATAAGCACAAAAAAGTCCATGGAGGTAGAAGAATCTTTATGTTTTCGAAGGAGACAGGTAAGACTTGAAATCAAGACAGTAAGTGATTAAATCAAGAAAGCCTGAGGATATGAGGGATGTCAGTTCCATAGTTTATTACCTCTAAGACTTCACACCCCTAGGGAATGAAGAAAATTACTTTCCTTTTGCTCTTTTGTGTCTAAGACTGAAAAGTAATGATACTATACATTAGCATAATTAATTTTTGTTGAATATCACTGAAACAGGTGAAAGTTATTTGATTCTTCTCTAGCCTAGAATAAAGTGGCAAAAATGAAGTTGGCACAGAGGTAGTCTGGATTAGAAAAATCGTACTTCTGTGTATCAATCATCTCCTGCCGGAACTGATCGCGTTCATTCAGCAAGTCCTGGATTGCACTTTGGGCATCCCTGGTTTGACGCTGAAGAATTGCTCTGGTATTAGTTAACTCATCAGCCATAACCCTGCAAAAGAAATCTACAGTCAGTAGTGTAAGTGAATAGTTTGGAAGTCACCTTTATTATACTACAGATCATCATCTGTCAGTTCAAACTGAGGATTAAGCTGCTGTTCTCTCTCCCCTCCCCCATACAGAGCCTATATCAACCTGATTACAAAGGACAGGCATTAAGAATAACTTCTCTTCAACTCCAGTCAACACAAGTGCAAAATTCTGCTTCGACTCACTGAGTTTAAACAATTTTAGGTCACTTAATACAGATCTAATGACAGACATTCCAAAATACCTTTGGTAAATGAACATAGTTGACAAGAATACTATGAAAGAAAAAGCTGAATACATTTTTTACTAACATTTCTCACAACTATGCTGTAATCACATGTTTTCACACATCTCTAAACAGCTATGGTTACAGACTGCATTCATTTACCTCTTTGCCTTTCTCTGGGGCAATAACTAGATGACAGATAAAAGTGTTTAAGAGCTACAAACGAGACAGCTGTTGTCACATTTTGCTGCACCATGAGGCTTGGCACTGACCCCTCCAGCAGGCATTTCAAATGCCTGTGATATTTCAAATGCAAAAACCATAATGACATTTAAACAATCACCAGTTAGAAATCTGAGGTAAAAATGAACCAGATCGTTGCAATATTGAAGAGTGTTACTCTAAGCACATTGCTGGGACTCACATCCCTGACCTCTGAACTCCTTGGGGATGCTAAAAAAACAAGTTAGGATAGTAACTCTTGCTTAGTCAGGACTTGAAAGTACTTAACATTCACCCAATATGCTGAAACTTCTTAAGACCAGCAAATGAAAGGGAGGAAATTCTATTCTATTACCACTTTCTTCAAGCAGTAAGGTCTTTTGTAATATGCATTAAGCCTCATAATTATAATTCAGTCAGTTTATCCAACTACAGTAGAAAATTAAAAATCCTACAACATTATTTACAAATCCAGCAAGACAACTAAACTTATCAAGTTAAAAGTCCAATTCATTGTCAAAGCATATTCTGACTTTCAGACCAGCTTTTATGGTTACAGAAGTAAAATAACAATGGGATTCTGTGCAGTAACACAGTGTTTGATGAAGAGATTCACTCTACTCTTTATTCCATACTAGAGCCCTGAATCAGTCTAAGTGATGCTTTTAACCACATCAGTTTCTTCACAAATTGATGACTGTATCAATAATGGGGTTAGAGATGAAAATCAAGCTAATTATCTTCAAGAAAAGCCAGGACAGCTGCCCTGGAAGACATTTTTAAACCCTAAACTGCTAAACAGTTAATCAGAATTAAGAACTCCTCTCGCTATGTTGGCAAGAACTGTATATTTTAGGAGGTTTGGGACTCACTGTATTACCTTTGAAAAGTTGGACTATTCAGATTTACAAGGAGCTTACTTTCTTTATACCTTTCCTGTATACTCAAATGTCATAGTAGATGTCAGTACAGCCGTTGTGGCTGTCCTCTGCATATGTAAGCACGCTGCAATGAGTGCATGTGATGAAAGACTAAAGGAGAATGCTGTTATAACAGCTCTGTGAGAGGCAATACCTGCTTGCTAGGAATTTGCTTCGCCACACATCACATTGGATAGACATGCGCTCTAATTGTTCAGACAGCTGAGACATATTCCGGCCCAGGACTTCATTTTCCAGGATGAGCTGATTTTTCTCACGAGCCATCCGTTCAAAGTGGTACTGCAGATCGTCCCCCATAGAAGCAACAAGTAATTTCTTCAGCTCCCGATTGACCTAGAATTAGACCAGACTCTCTTGTGACTATCAACAGAGAATAAAACAATTCCTACTTCCAGAATACAGTGCAAATTATTGTAAATTGCTAACAATAAATTGCCTTTCCATAATAGGATGCATCCAG